TCCTCAGACATGGAAAAAGCTGAGGTACTCAATAAGTGCTTTGCCTCAGTCTTCACTGGCTTCCCACGTCTGTCAGAACCCTGAACCTCTAGGTGAGGATGAGAGAAGCAAAATCCCTCCCACTAACAGCAGAACAAGTCCGAGACCACCTCATGTCACTGAATGTATATAAGTCTATGGGGCCAGATGATATGCATCCCAGGGTTCTGAAAGGAGGGGGAGTGACTGTTTACAGGGGTTGATAGTGACAGGATGAGGGAGAATGGTTTTAAACTAAGAGAGGGGAGATTTAGGTTGGATATTAGGCGGAAATTTTTCATGCAGAGGGTGGTGAGGCACTGGAACAGGTTTCCCAGAGAAGCTGTGGATGCCCCATCCCTGGAGGCATTCAAGACCAGGCTGGATGGGGCCCTGGGCAGCCTGCTCTAGTGGTTGGCAACCCTGCCCATAGGAGGGGGGGTGAAACTAGATGATCTTTAAGGTCCTTTTGAACCCAGGCCATTCTATGATTATATGATTCTATGAATAAATGTGAAAATTGCCTTTCAACACTTTCAGTGTTGTGGAATAAAGAATAATTCCCTGGCTACAAATAATACAGTAATACACAGTAATACACTGGGATTTTTCCAAGTGCCAAAGTGAGTGAGGATCATAAACCCTAATGCTCTTTATCCTGATCTTCCTCTCAGCAAGACATCTATGAAAAGGAACTCAATGCAGGGCAATACTCTCTATTCTGTACTCTGAACAGGTGCAGAGATGCTTGACCTCATTACAGATCTCCTACTGCATTATCCTGACTTAAAGCAAAGAATAATACATGAGTCCAGTAAGAGTAATTCATTTGCCACTACTCCTCACCTCATTTGTGCTCTGGTGCCCCCGAGACTGATCTGCCTGGGAACATCTGAGTATCTTTATATTCCTTGTAGTATGTAAAAGAGTTTAGAAAATAGAATAATGCCATCAGTTCCTAATATTTTCCAGGGAATATGAAATCCTGTGGAACAGGACTTGACTCCATAATCTCTTTAACTTTTCTCCAAAGTGCTGGGCAACCCTTGGATCCTGTTGGCAGTGAAGGTGTTTGGTAGCATGTGGTGCTATGCAGAAAAAAGCTTTAACTGATCCATGTCAGCAGCGAGAAGACTTTCACTTCTTTTGTCTTCATTATCAGGTTAGTAAAAAATAATTGTTTCAATTTTCACTTATTTATTTTCATCTATGGAAAGAATAGGGCTCATGTGTTAGAAGGCCCTCTTGTTATTTCTGGAAACGCAAATTCCAGAACAGCCAAGTCATTAGCTAATATTGGGCTGCAACCTCCCACTGTCATTATGCACTGATAGTTTATGCTTTCTGCTACTGGTTTCAAATGTCCTGGGTTTTCCATATGCTTTTTCCAAGGGAGTCAGAACAGCTGCAATCAGACAGTAAGGTTTTCTTTAAAGAAAGTCCATGAAGCTTTATAATTTTTCAGGCACAGCATGAAAAGGTTTTCATTGCATATACAAAGAATGACTGTTTGGAACACACAACTGACATTTCATTAGAAATGCTGAATGGAAGCTGACAGATCCAGGTCAGCACTGCTCTCTACCTCAGAGCAAAGACACCTGCTGAAATGGCTGTGAACTCTTTTTTTCCATTAGTAGCCTGTGGCAAACTGAAATCCTTTGGGATTCAGATGTACGGTAAAATGATGTATTAATTTCCATCATCCACATTTAGCACTTAGAAGAAAGGCCAGTTCACAGTGAGAGCAAAGGCAGACAGCTGAAGGCTTGGTTTAACCAAATCAGGTTTTTGGGATAAGGTGAATCTCAACCAAAGTGAAAGTGGCCCAGCTATCATATTCTTGGTTAGGATTCAGGTTTCAGAGCTGGATACAGCCATGAGCATAGCTGACCATTCCTTATGTCCAGCTGAGACCAGATCCGAAGGGTTTGTCTGGAATCTTCTCCAGAAGGAATGTCAAAACAGGGCACTCACAACCCTTACATGATGGGAAAAATGTGTCCATGCAGAACCTGGCTATCGGTTGCCATAGTATAAAGAGAGAGGTCAAATGACTTCATGGGCATCAGCTCTGGCCTATTAATGTACCCCTTAGTGCTTTTTATCAAGCCCTGAGATAAAGTTTTTTAAGGCCTAAATATACACAGAGTCCATTAAGCAATTTAAGTAGCAAATTGCAAAATATGAGTATTACTTAACGTCATAATATAGTAGATGTTTTCTGTTGTGTCCACAAATAGAATCTCCATAGGACTTATTCCTAATTAGTGCTTCATGCTGAACACAGGGTTATTCTTTGTTCATTTTATAAACACATACATACTTTTTATATACACATTCTAGAAGAATCTTTAAATAACAAGCATCAAATCTCATTTTATGTTTGAAAAATGTTATTACCTATTATCTTAATGACTTGATGGTATCTGTGTAGCATGAAACAGATATGAAAGAACAGCTCAATAGATAGTGACACAGTAAAGCTTCACAAGTCACTGTTAATTAAGCTAAATTAAATTCCAGTCAGGGTAAACTTTAACCCAAGAGTCAAATTAGACCCTCAGCTATGACTAAGAGTGTATTTTTGAGTTCTTACAGTAAAGATTCAGTCCAAAGACCATTCAAGTGAACAGAAAGTTTCCAATAGACTCCAAAGCTTTCAGAAGATTTGTATGGTCCTGGCTGAATCTGCAGTCTTTGACTTCGAATTATGATGATGTGTCTGCCACACATCATGAGATTTCAGCTTCAGGGAGATTCAGTACTGTAAATGCTCAGCAGCCAAGCAGCTAGTTCTTAACCAAAGCATGTTTTAATGCTTCAGGGACATTAATGGAATTTGTATAATAAACAGAAGTATTTGGAAAACATTATTTTAGGGATAATACTGATGATAAATTAATCTGCTATTTTTCCTGCATCAGCAGACAGAAAGAATATATTTGGATGTCTCTATGAAAAAAAAAATGTATTCCTACTGTTGTTACACAAAGTATTATTTTGCCTTTTAGTATTTTGCTTTCTTTTTGTACAAGGGGACTTGAAAGGTGTTTGACAGGCCTCTGCACCTGATTTTTTAATTGAACTTGTATCTTTCCAGAAAAAAAAATCACATTCACAGAGAAGACATCAGATAGCAGTTATGTGGTGACTTTCAGTGCTAGAAATACAAACTTACCATGTGACACGGGGTGCTGGCCAGCCAGCCACAGAACAATGAAATTTGACATTTTGCTTTTCCCAGATAGTGTGGGAACGAGGCTCAATAATAAACTCAGGAGCATGTAAAAGTTTATCTTGATTCAGCTTTTTGTGGAATGCCTGAGTGTCTTCTAACTGGAAAAGAAACATATGATTATAAATTCCAGCAGCTATAAGTGCAAATTATTAATATTCAAAAAGCTTATTAAAAAAAAAATTAACTTTTAATTTAAAATCCAGATAGACATACTTAATGTTTTTATCTCACCTTGAAAATTTTAATTTTCAAGAAGTTCTCCAAAATAGTAAGATTTGATTTTACTGGGTTTTTTTCCTTAAAACTATTCTAAGTAAAATAATCTTCCACATTTAATTAATTTTTTTAGGACAGAGTGAAAGATGATAATAGGTCTGAAACTCAGATGTCGACTGTACTTTTGCTCTAATGCAAGATCGTGTGTGCCTAGATCATCTCTGACAGACCTGTTCTCAAGCCTTTCCTGCAAATCTTTCATCCTCTCAGGGTAACTGTTTCGACTGCTTGGCTATGCAGAGAGCTGGAAAAAAATTCCTAATATACTGTAAATCTTGCTTTCTTCAAACAAAACTATTTATTTTCTTCCCTAACTTTTACGTATATGGAGAATTACAGGCCCTTCTATTAAGGTTATTAAAAGAGGACAGCTTCCATAATCCTCTCAGTCTTTTATAAAGTGTGCATTACCAATTTTCCTTACAATTATTGTTTCTCTGTGCTGGACAGGTTCTACTTGTCCTCAAGATTCACAAAACAGAAACTACTCATTATCAGAAGTCCAACAGTCTCCAGCACAATTAAATGATTGGTCCTTATGTTTGAATGACAATGCTTTTGCTAACACATTCCAGAATGGCATTTGTTTTTATACAACAATGACTGACATTAAATCTGTGACCTGTTATAACTCCCAGATCCTCAGGTACTTTTACCTAGCCAGGCATTCCTTGTTTACTTGTTCTTTTCCTTCTGTGTGTAGTAATTTCTGTTGATTGTTATCAAATTTCACTTTTGCTGTTTTCACTTCAATTTTTGACATAATTTTGAATTTTTACCTTGTCCTTTGAAGTGTTTAGACCCTTTCCAACCTCATGTCATGAGGATATTTTATAACCATATTGCTAATTCTTCTGCTCAAAACATTAGTACATTTGCTACATGAAACGTATTTGCACTTGATGTATTTTGACAGTCGAGTCATAACATATTTGTAACTATGCTCTGTGTATTATTTTTTAATAAGTTGCACAATAATATCAAAGCTACCCACAATCGGAGATTCATTCCAGATGTCTTTGGCAATTCCCTTGCTAATTTACACCCTGTGATTAAAACTCTGGGGTAACACTTTGGACAAGCTTGTTCCCAGGCCATAAAAATCCAGAAATTACCCCATCACCTTCCTGTTGGTGAGAGAAATATATTGGCACCTTTCTTCTCTGCCCAGCAACTACATCATCATCTAGGTGAAGGATGCTGTGCCATTTAACGAGGTGTGGGCATGACCAAAGACCGTTCCCCAGCCCTTTGTCCCTTTTGTTCCCCCTCCCTTTGTCCCAGCACAAAAGAAGCCTGGTGCCTACCTCCAGCATAATGCCTCTTTTCTTATCCACCTGACACCAAGATAACAAGGCTTTAAGTCATTGAAAAGATTTCCATTGAAAATACTTTGGTTTTTTACTACCATTATTGTGATTGCTCATGGTGTAAATCAGGGCCCTGTTGTGCTAGGCACTTTACAAACACCAAACAAAAAAGACCCACACTGTTTAGAGCCTGTTTGTTCATTTCTACTCTTACCGTTTTCTTCAGGGCCACACGTTCAGCAGACTCCCGGATTGCTATTTTCCTTGATTTTTTTTCATGATGTTCCTCTTCGGAAGTTGACTTGGCCACCTTGCTGACACTAACTCCTTCACCTGTGGCAAAAAGGTTCCTCTTGGCAACATATGCAGCACTTTCTTTAATTCTTTCTTCTTCTGTGTCTGTGATCCCACTGATACTCACTTCTCTGAAAGAATTTTTTAAAAGCAAAATCCCATTGGAAAATGCTGAGAACATATTCCATTTATACTCTGTCAAATTAGCCAAGTACAGTGGCCAACACTCTTGCATATTTCTGCTATTACAGTCTCCTATGGATTCAAAGCAGAAACTGCAGAATGACTGAGTATTTCACTGTCTAAAGTCATGGCTGTTTTCAGTACCTCTCTGTATAACTACGCTATACCCATTTTCAGTTTAACCATTATCCTGCTGTGGTTTTGTTTCTCCATCACTGTAAAGATTAGTGTAAGACATACACATCTTCAGTTACTGACTTCGGTTGCAGCATTCGTAACACTACCAAAGGGGTAGCAGATAATTGTAGCTGTATAACAATGACCTAATTTGTGAATTATACAAAGAAATCACAAAAAAAGTTCTATTTATTCATAGGAATTTCAGTCCTGTAACGTTTGGAGGGTGACTGTTCTTCCAAATGTTTTCAAGAAGATAGTTAAGGATTTTCTTGAAGTATCCTCCTCAGGCTTTCTAGAGAGGCGAGATGAAAAAATGTGGGTCCAATCCTGTTTCCATATGCACATGTGGAAGTACCATTGCAGCCATATTGTTTTCGCATTGTCAGGACATTATAGCTGCTATAGTAGTGCATATACAATGTGAGTTCCTTGACTTAAGGAGAAGCATTCATATCCTTCTGCTGAGTTTAGTTACTTTAGGGTAACATTAGATGGCACACTGAAAAGAGGTTCTGTTTAAGTTCTTGTTAAGTGCCATTTTGCAAGCACTGTAGAGAAAGCATTCTCTGTTTACTTCCAGAATGCATTCAAGCACAGCCTCACTATTTTATCTTAAAAAGCTTACTACTGCTACAAAGCAAAAAGATTAGGAAGAATTATTTTTGTCTGATTTCTTTAAGGTTGCTAATATTATGCATTTGATAGCACATCTCAATACTCAAGAAAATTTGTATTCAAGCCCATAATTAACTGTCCAGCCCCTTATCTTTGGGCTGTGAAATAGTTTGGTGAGATGCAAGACAGCCAAGCCGTGGAAAGTGCTGTAAACTTAATTATGCGTAAAAATTGCTCAAAAAACTACTAAAACTTACTTAACAGCATAGAGTTTTGACCTCCCTCGTGTTCAAACTCTGCCATGAACTTTCTGTGTTTCAGGCTGCTTTAGCAGAATGATCCTTAAAAGTGTCTGTGGGATGATTGATTCCCTTCACGTAGGCACATCAGCTCCCCCCACAAATATCATCTGAAGATGCAGATATATGGCAGAGATTTCTGAAGACAATTTTGAAAATTCAGTTTAATGAATATGAATGTAGCTGTCTACATTCAGTTTAAATGAATCAGTGGCATTTTCCTTCAAAGGCAAGCTGACATTATTTCCTCCTTAATTACAGTAGTTAAGAACTCTGCAACTTCACAGTATGGACACACTCCTCAAGGCATAAAGCATCTTCTGGGAGCTAATGAATATCCTCAGACTAATATAGGACTCAGCCTAGTCATCTGCAGTAGTGGTCCCCAGATGATTTTGATCAACAGTATTAAATATTTAGATTTGCTAATCATTTATTCCTGTTATAATCTTCCTAGATGAAAGAGAAACATGTTTTCTGAAACGATGAATGCATCAGAAACAGCACACAGTACCATTCTCCAATCAGCTCTCAGGGGTTTCAGTAGAAAACACTTTTCAAACAGAAACTATGAGATCAAACCCCAAATGGCACACACAAAATATTGTTTAAAGGGTGTCTGCCATCTGCAGTCCTCTGGCGCAAGCTTATTAGTGGTTGAAAATAGTTCCATGAGCCACAATCAGTATCTTTAGTAACTGTGACATTAAGTCAAGCTCTGGGTGCTCTATTGTCTAGAATACTGGCTGGCTGTCCTAAATTTTATCTTGCAAGGATTAGGCTGGGTTTTTAAGAAGAACAGTTGTGAAGTGAATAATCTGAGCAAGGGAGTTTTTTACAGCAGAACCTGAGGGCTCCAAAATAGAACCAAATGGTGGCAACAGGGACACGGTGCTGAAGGTCGTCCAGCAGCACAAGCAACAGCTTTGATGAACCCATGGTGAGCTGACCTTTATAAATAACTATTCCTTGTAAAAGCTATCTACCCATGGGAAACAAGACATCCATTTCAAAGGGGAATTTGGGAATGACATATAACATGCACATGGTTCAATGGGCTTCAGCTGTTATCTTTCAAACAAAAATAAATATCTGACAGGAATATGGAATGCAACTTCTGCGGTCTTGGCATGTGGTCATGGACATGATGCCAACAGCAAAAAAGCCTAAAACAGATACCCCAACTATTTCAGGCCATGTTGAGTTGGTCACCCTAACAATCATCATGTGCCCTTTTCATATTTTTAAACTTATTTAAAAAAACCTGTTTGGGTCATTTCAGTGGCACAAAAGCATACACAACTTCTTGAGTTGACATGTGCAAAAAGTAAGATTGATACCAAAAACAGTAAGAAGAAGAATAGTAAAAATGGTGTAAGAATCCAACAATATATTTTAATGTAAGATCCCAAAGTATTGCACAGACACAAATAAACGAAGCTACACACCATCATACCGAGTTAGATATTACTGTATGAATTTTACAAAAAATGTAAAATAAAAAAGATGTTAAGATTTGTTAAGATGTTAACATGATGTGTTAAGATTTTAACATGATGTGTTAAGATCACAGGGGCCTGTACAAAAGCTATCATCATCCAGGAGTACTAGCCATCTGTCATTATTTTCAACTATTGGCCAACACTATAAATTTTTCTTTTGTAGACTCAAGACACACAAAAAAGGGAGGATATCTGTGGTTGAGGTCATGGGAAACAGATGATGGTGAGCTGCAAATCTACTGTTACTTAAGCAGAAATACCAGGTGAGATGCAAAGGTAGTGAGAAGCCTTGAAAATATATTACTGCATGTTTTGTGTAAGACACATTTATGCATTTCTATCATGGAAGATATAGCTGAAAATCCAAAGCAATGGTTTTGAAAGGCAACAGTGTGTGCTTCTGAATGTTGGTTGGATCAGGGAGCAGTGATTCCAGCACAGAAAATGTACAAGGGGTGAGAAAAACATTACTCCGGGATAGTGGGAGGGAATTAACAAGAACCAAAACTACTGGTCTTATCCCAAAAGCATCACAAACACTCCAAAGGCCAAAGCAACAACATCTCCCACTGACAAGGTGGAACTCAGGTTCACATGAAAGCACAAGTTTGGACACAAAGCAGAAGTGACATTAGATGTTGATCAAGCAGTACAGAGAAAAGCACTGGCTCCCAGAAGCAGCTTGGAAGTGTCCCATGAAAAATGTTGTGCTGCAGAGGAAAGACAAGTTGAAGGAAGGTTTCTGTTCAACTACAGGTGGGCAAGAAATTTTTCTCCTGACCTCCAATCAGGAACCAGTTTTCCACACCGCACTCTCGTATGTATTAATCTGAACAAGTGATTGTTATCGAACAGCCAGACACTCCAGATAAAATCAGTATGCCATACCCCAAAAGGGCAGAGTAGCCTCCTTGCTCATGTTGGCTTCCACATAAAGTTCACATTCAGCTTTACTGAGGAAACTGCTGCAGTAAGATGTATTACATCAGTAGTAACCCTTCAATAAATACCACCAACACGTGAGATCAGTATGAATCATTAAAATGGATTTGAGAAAGTATTTGGTTTCCTTCCAGGTTTTCCCTGTGCCAGGACAAAACATTAGCACATTGTTTCATTGTTTCTATGTTTAATGCCTGGTAAGAGACATTGAGTTACAGAACAAGTCTTCAAACCAAAAGAATAAACTAAATAATGTGGACAACATGCTTGTCTTGTTCCCAATAAGCAAGGTTATAATTATATCTTAATTTCCTAGAAAGTGGCCCTGCCGATGTGTTCAAAACAAAGTCCAGACACCTAGGTTCATTTGTCCTGGCTCTGGATAATCAATGTCTAATTTTCTCCCAGTCAGTTGACTTCTCTTTGTCTTTTTATTACTCATGTGAAGTGCAAACAATCACCTTGAGAGTGAGTGTAAAAAAAGATCAGTCTATTTGTTATTTTATAATTTGTTAATAAAATGTGAGAAATAAGATACCAAAAAAAAAAAAAGGAAAATTAACATACCGTCCTGTGAATATGGGCACTGAGTAGTCTATGGCTTCATTCTCTTTGTCCTCAGATACCAAATTCTGTTTTGCTCTCTTTGCTTTGGGACTCATCTTATAGGATTGATCTTCAATCATTAAATTGTAATCTTTCAGTCTGAAATAAAAATAATATTGTTAGGAAAAAAAAAGCTGTTAAGAAACACTCCAAAATGAGATTAAAGTGCTAAAAATATTTGTTCTCTTGTTTGATAAGCAAGAAAATATCATTTTTAATAGCCATGACTTCAGGGTTATTAAACACATACTAATGCACTTTTAACAAACTCAGAATTGCAAATATTACAGTGATGCCCCTTGATGTTAAATCTAAATAGAGAGAATAAAGAATACACCTGATAGCAATGCACATTCAATAGCTTCTTGGTTTGGGACTTGGAGAGTTTGCACACCCAGTTTTGGGAGATTCTGAAGTCACTGAGACCACTGGGTAATTCTGAAGATTGTGTCTGAACTCATAACCTCTACTTTTCCAAAATTTACAGTCCTGAAATTGTCTGGTCCCCAACCAAAATGTTGGTGTGCAAATATATTCAGATATTATATATATATATATAAGTTTCTCTACAGAAATTGTAGGGCAGCATATTGCTCAGTAACCAGTGTTGCCATTCCCACTGCTCTCCCATACCACCCCAATCCATTGAAAGCGAAGAGCTGAGTGAAGGAACACCATTTAACATAGCATAGATAAATGAGCAGAAATTGAGTGGAAATAAAGAAGAGCAAACCAAAGGGAAGTCTTCCCCTCCCCACCAGCCCAGGAGGCTTTCTGAAGAGTGTGAAGCATATTTGAGGCAGTCATTTTTCGTTCAGTTTTTAACATGGTTACAAATTGTGTTAACAAATCTCCAAATACCTTCTTCCTCCTTTCCCAATGCAACACATCTCTAACTCCCAGGTCTATGGAATATCCTAATTAGCTGACAGCATTTTATAAATCCCAGAAGTGTCTATTCATCTCTGTGTCAACATTGCCAAGGGAAATAATATGTGAGTCTGCTGGAGATTTGTCTACACAGCATAAGATTACCACTTATGAGCACAGACACAGGAGCAGAGTTAAGGCATGGGCTTTCTCAGTAAGGCTTATTAGCCCAGATGTGTCCCACTGACACAGCTAACCTGCTTCCCATATCCTGGGTCACTTACACTGGTGTCCCTGTACTTCGTACTGTACACATACAATCAAAATTCAGGCTAGCACTGAGCCCCTGAGAATGTTACACATGTATAAAGTCAGATTACAAATTACTTGGGCTAATGTTTTCCTTAGGCTGCAGCCCTGCAAAAGTACCGAGCTCCAGAGGTGCCATCAACACAAGTCATACCAGGAAAAGCACTTCATTTCCAAAACACGTGTTAATAACCTATCCATGTGAGACTCTGTGTGAGCTCACACAGGTCCAGTTTCAATCTATCTTTCCTTCCTTCATTTCTTTGTGCCTGTCCCTTTGCTCAGGCTGAGTTCTCTCCCTACCCAGTGCCTGTTAAATCAGTCTCCCATTCTTTAGCTCTCTTAATGGCTTTTTTACTGTCATCTCTTCTCCTTCTCCATCTAATTTCTTGCCTGAACTTAATATCCTCCCCTGATATGCTTTCCAGCTCTAATCTCTTTGCCCTGCCACTCCCAGCACCATCAGTAGGAGTTTCCCTTCCTTTCTGCTTAGTTCCCACCTCACCAGACACAACTGTATTCAGCTCACCCGGCATGGCAGTGAGGCAGCCTTCTCCTCCATGCTCCCTGGGTGCCCACTTTATAGCTGCCATCACTGAGCCTACAGCACCACTGCCAAGAAACAGTTGGTATAAGGGGTAAAAGCAACCACACACTGGTTCTGCTTCCTTCCTCCTCCCTCTGTCTCCTGGTTTCCATGCAAAAAAAAAGCACAGCCAGAGAGGGGCTGTGGCACACACCGTAGGACTGGAGCCAAGCATTTGCCACATCAGGCACCACTGGGCCAGCCTAGGCACGGACCAAGTCTACAGGAGTGAAATGCTGTCTGCTCTGGGGTCTGATGCCAGGCGCTGCCCAAGGCAGCCAGGGAGAGAGTCCAAGGGAGGTGGATCCAGCTTTAGGGTCAGAAATCCAAGCAGAAAATACTTGGGAACAGTCCAGGCAGAGTAAAATAAAAACGAGGAGACAGTGAAACAGAGTATGCAGTGGCTCCCTCCGGGGCTGGGCAACGACCTGGTGCAATCACTACGGCCAACCACTAATGCATTGGGAGAACTCGTCATTAGATAAGTGGTGAGAAACATCAGAGGCAAAGTATTTTCGTTATTTTTCATAACTGAACTGTAGTCTGTAAGGAGCTGCAGTTCTTTACTAAATAGGTGATTTTTATTCCTGTCCTATTTTAAAATCGGACAAACCTGGAATTTTGACTCTGACTGCCATCAGATTTCCTGGGGGCTTTAGGGAGAACCCTTTAGGAGGCCACTTGATTCCTGGTTGTTTCTAGATCGAGAAGGATCACAATATCATTTGAACTTCAGTTTAAATGTAAAAAAATCTTTATTTTCATAAAAATAGATTAAATGTGGTGAAAATTTCAGCTCAGGCATTTTCAACACTGTTAAATCCAGACTTGCTCTTTGTTCCTAAAGGGGAATCTGTCCTGTCAGTTTACTTTTCAGTTAATGTCCAGATTGCACACTCGTGAGGGAATTAATGGGGAGCATACATAGCAGTTCCCATCGCTCCCTGCTAGGCCTTTTGTTGATGTCTTTCCTACATGGGTTTTTTTCCCCCTATCTTTCACTTACAACGCTCTAAAATTATTTGAAAAGTGGAAGGAATAAATTGCTACAGGTTCTGTTTTTGTGATGGTTGTTTTTTTGATCAAACAAGTGTTTGAAGTTGAATATCTCACTTTAATTTCTTCTGCCTTCCACAACTAGCTTTATGAAAATATCCCCCAAATCCTTCAGATTAATGCTAGAGATCTCCATCACAGTGGAGCCTGAGAAACAGGGACAGAACTGGAACTTTTATTGAGACATGATGACTAGGATAAAAACATTGTATATGCACAGCTGATTCCCGCTCTCTTCCAAGTTTTCTAAACTGCATGTCTCTTGATTGAGGCACCTTTCACCGCAGCCACCTGATTATTTTCTGGATTACTGCTCCTCGATCCTTCATGTTATTGGTTGGCCCTTGTGTGTATGTGCTCAGGACCAGAAAAACACCTTTCTAGATGCCTTTTCCTCTCTTTTTTCTCCACAAGGGGCAGCTGCAGCGGGAGTTGCTGTGCTGTCTTCTAAAAGCAAGGGTTGGGTCCCAATACTTTGCAGTGGTACAGAAGAGAGGGAGCAGTCAGCTATCAAAAGCGCAGATTATACCTTTGAGCTGAATAAGGGATGTATGTGGATCCTGTAACTGTCTGCAGTTCTCAGATTGTTAACACGACACTCCGACAAATTTACTTCAGTCGTTTGCTCTTCCAAAAACTTGACTTGGACCAAGCAGGGCCCCAGTGAGAAGTTTTTAATTGAGGAATGCCAGTGGTTCTTTTAGACCAGTTTCCTCTTCCAGCAATGGTCAAGAGCAGGTGAAAAGAAAGCTTATGTAGAGAAATACTTTCCCCAATAATCCTTTTGTTTTCCAGCAAACACCTAGGGACATCCTGAGCCAGAGATTGCATCCTGGCTGCAGCAGTGAGCTTACAATTTATCTATATATGAAAATGGCACTTTCTTTTGAACCTGTTTTAATCTGCAACTTTATGATCTCTTTTGTGCTTACATGCCACTCTGTCTGAAAAATAGTGAAAAAATGTTCCTTGTTCACTCTCTGCACATCCTTCACTGTTTTGTACGTTCACATTACATACCCATGTTTGCCTCCTTCCCATGGTAAGAGCCCCAGTGTCTTGTCTTCTCTAGGCGGAAGGTATTCAACACCTTCCACTACCCTCCTTGCTGACCTCTGACCCTTTTCTAGTTTCAGATTGTAGTTTTTAAGATGAGATGATCAGAATTGCACCCAATAATTCAGCTATGAACATACCTCGGATTAAACCACTGACACAATATTATTTCTGTTTCATTTTTCCTTTCTTTCATAGCTGTTCCTAAATTTGTAATTGTTTCATGACCACATCAGAGCATCCAGATGGTGTTTTGAGAGACATATCCAGAGTCACTGCAAAATCTTTTTCAGAATTGCATTGCATAAATGAAAAGCTGACATGAATAAATTTGAAGCAGTAGAGAATGTTTCTCCTTTACAAATCCTTCTATCATTTGCTACCAGCCAGGCAGAGCTGTATGGAGAATAGTAGAAATGCATATTCAAATGTAGTTCTTCACATGGGAAAATGAATTGGTCATTATTTCTGTCATCAAGTTTATGTCTCTCTTTTCTTTTTTTTCCTGTACAACACAAAAACTGAACCCTGCCTACAACCAATATTTAGGTAGCCTAAAGGAGAACTCTGCTTTCTTGAACCAGATTCTAAAACCTTGCCCTTTATTTTAAAATGTTCCAACCTTTTACCTGATATGTGGAACAGAATCTCCCTGGAGGAGAAGGTGCAGAGTATCGGTGCTCTCTAGTTTCACAGGGAGGAACAGTACCATGACCTTTCAACAGCTTTCAGCCTCATTTGATATGCCCAGCTAGCGTATGTATGGGTTTTTCCAGGTCAGATACTATCTGTACTGCCTTATCAAGGTTGATGACCCAAGCTTAGTGTCCTCATTTCTTGATGGTTTTCAGTATGTCAAAATAGCAACACCAGCATTTTCTTAGTTTCTCAGTAGTGTCACTGAACTGAGAGTTGGGTGGCTGTAAATGCTAAACACACAGGCATTGTCCTGCAGAGATATAAAACCAGATAGCTACTATTAGATTTTCTCTCTAGCCCAAGAGGGGAAATAAATACAACACTACTGTACCAGGCCACTGAAACTCACAGACAGAGGTTTTGTTTTGATGTCGTATTCTCAGATAGAAATATACTTCAGTATGTTGGCACTGCCCTTGTTCCTGTCCCTGCAGGAACAGGTTTCCCACGCTGCACAAACAGATTCTGAGCCCAGTGGATGTAGAAATGTGTTCTAGGAGTGGACCACAACACCCTATTCCTTAGTTATTCCACCCTGCATGAAAAGGCACCTGTAAGCTCATTTACACCTCTAGAAAATCGTGTGTCTTGTCCTTAGCATGCTTTTGTTGCATATTTCTCTCACATTATTCTGACAGCAGACAGGGATGCATTTGGTATACACAACAGCTGTACCAGCTGTACCTGCTGGAGGAGCTCCAGTAGACAAGAGGCATTTTCCAGGCTCTCTTTACAGCAGCTGCTTCTTTCCTAATATGCAATGTTTTAATTTACTCACCATAAAGCGGAGATAGTAGATTGGCAAACCCAGTTACAGAAAAGAAAAAAAAAATTTCACAAGCAAGTTCTTTAAAGCCAGCCTCTCAAGATGAGAAGTGATCTCTGCTGACTATATTCATTTTAAGTTGCTGACAGATTTGTCACAGGCCCAGGCAATATTGCTGGCAATAATCACGCTGTTCCCTAACACAGCTTCCACAACAAATTTGTTTAAAGCGTAATTGTTTCCACATAGCAGGTCTCATCAAAATAATTTCCATGCTTGGCTATGATGTTTGGAATCCACCTTCTTCGCCCTCACCTATAATAACCCAAATGTTGAGCAGTGCCAGTAGGGATCTCAAGATCACGGTCTTCTCGAGTTTCTTAAAGTGTGTTATTTTCTCATCCCTGTCCTGATCCTGGTTACAATATTGCTCAGAAGAGAATTCACTCTTGCTGTCTGGCAGCCTAATTAATTGCAAGTTAGTAAGGCATCTCTCCTTTGTTTGCTTGGTTCACCCGAATTATGCCATGTTTGGCATAATTATCCCAGTTTGCCTGACCTGCAAAATACATACAAATGCCTGAGCCACACCGTTAACTTTTATTTTCTCTCTAAGCAAGTCTCTGGCCCATTTGGTGGCAGATAAACACTGTGAGACAATGGGATTATCTGACGCTGCGGGCTGGAAAAATAACACATGGAAAAACAGTGGAAGTTTGAGCAAAGGCAGATGACTGAGCTTCCAAAAAAAGAGGTAAATGGGTTTAATCCAGCAGTCCCCTTGGACAGGCCTGTAGTGCTATAAGCAGCTTTGGCAGTCCTGACTCAAAGCTTCTCAGAAGCACGTGGAGGATGGAACGGTGCCATAGAAAGAAGGTTCTTCCGCAGGAGACAACCTGCCCACATCAGCAGCCCTGGAGGATGGGACAGGGAGGAGGACGGGTGGCCATGATAACCACCTTTGGGAGAGGGCTGCCACCCCTTGCCTGTACGGACACTGCCTGCTCCTCAGGAAAGCAGCATGCCCCCTCCTCCTGGCTCTGCGGGGGCCAGAGAAGTGGCGCTCAACTAGAGGTGGCCTTGCAAGCTATCAGAGAGGGCTAGGTGTGGAGTGGCAAACTTTACGTGGTGAGACTCGCTTTCCTTTAGGAGCCCAGTCAGAGAGGGCTAGGTCTGGAGTGGCAAACTTTACATGGTGAGACTCGCTTTCCTTTAGGAGCCCAGGGTTTTGCAGCTTTGTCAAACTGTAAGCGGCAAAGATGAAAGCTTCTGTGCTTACTCTTCATTTTGCCAGTTTTCAGTTCTCTCCTTTTACTTCTTCAAGCTGTCATGGTGTGAAGAAGACTTGAAATGTGGGGAAGAGACAGCCCACTTGTAACTGGAACCTTTTTTGTCCTCATGAAAACACAAGCTGCGGCTCCTTCAAGCTGTCTATGCTGATGCTCTGAGCATCTTTTCCACTCAAGTGAGGCTCCAATGTCAGAGAATTGGATTCAGGTCAAGGTCTTGCAGGTTACCTAGTGCCTAGTCCTTCTCCACTGTTTTCCCATGATAAATTCCTCATGTAGCTCTAACTGTATGTCAACACTGTCACTTTATGAACACTCTCTTCTGTATAGTGGCTACACAAAAGGATGAGACTTAAATTCTGCAGGTATAGTAAAGTTTAGCAGAAGTTACTTTAGATAAAAATAAGAAGTGACTGCTTAGTATTTTTGTAGTATACTTTTCCTGTTGGGGTTAATGAGGTTTATCCACAAAACTATATCCATTATACATAAACATAGATTTGATGTTACAATCCAGTGATAAGCAATAATCAATTGTTAGCTGCAGAATTTTATCTGGTTTTGGGTTCATGGGTGCATCTAGATTGCAAGCAACTACCACTGTTGTAGGTCATTTAGCTACAGCATTTCAGTTCAGGGCCCTTTCTACTTTTTGAAAATGGAAAGTTTTTGAAGACTTTTTTTTTTTTTTGACACACCATTCCCTTTGTACAGATGAAATCAGAAAGTGTTTGATTTGCCCAATTTATTTCAGTAACACTTGTTGTCTCCACATTATCCATGTAAATGTTTTGAGCTATCTGGGGAAGACAGTACAAATTTGGAAAGAATTATTTTAAAATGGCACTACATTTAGCCATATAGTTGTATTATTTGTTCTACTTTACCTCTTGCAAATTGCAGCAAAATGGATGACAAAAAACAAAGTAGTAGCAACACAGAGGCCATATTAAGCATAAAATTAGGTTAAATACTGAGATTATAATTCAAAACCATATTGTCTCATGTATTAAGTTTTGTGCAAGAGAGATTTAAATCATGTAGGTTTAATCTCCTGAGTCCTAGTCTTACATAGCAGCACTGAGTTTCTCAAACCTCCAACACAAGGATAGGATCACAGAAAAATAGAAGTTACAGCTGAGACATTCTTATCTGTGATTACCAGGATAGTATATCAATCTGTTGGCAACTCTTGTACTACAGAGTAGCTTGAAAGTATCACCAAATATACCATTTTAAAACCAAAGCTATTATCTCAAAAAAAAACCCAAAACCCTGGGAAACCTCAAAATGTTTTAAATTCTCTCCCAAATAAGCAATTTTATTTCCTTTAATATTACTTGAAGTTAGAGTTCTTCTTGGTGAGAATACATAGGTTTCAGAAGAAACTCATCTGACAAAACAGTCACTGAAGTGTTTGTAACTGGGACTCCAAAGAGGTTTTTTGCAATCATTTTTTGCAACCTCAAGTAATCACAGAATAGTTTGGGTTGGAAGAGACCTTAAAGATCATCAAGTTCCAACCCCCTGCCATGGGCAGGGACACCCTCCACTAGACCAGGTTGCTCAAAGCCTCATCCAGCCTGGCTTTGAACACCTCCAGGGATGGGGCATCCACAGCTTCTCTGGGCAACCTGTTCCAGTGCCTCACCATCCTCAAAGTGAAAAATTACTGATGGAGCCTTTTGAGTTAGGGTCAGCAACAGCACATAGGCACAGCTGCATCACTGCAGCAATTTGGGATATCTTTACCCTACCCAGCTCTCTCTGAAAACACAACCCTCAGTCCCAGCATCTCCAGTTTTCTTCCCTTCATCAGCAAATTATAAATGATCTGCTCACTGCTCCACTCAGTGGTTAATTATTTGCAGAAGTGAAATTGTTACAATAGCAAAGAGTGGATATTACCCAGCCCAAGACAGTCAAGTAGTCATGTCATTCACCTGGGCTCTAACAGCCTGAGGTTAAAATTCCTGAACAGACCCTGGCAAATACAGACTTGACCCTGAACTTCATGAAAGCCAAGTGAGGGCTGTAATCACAAAGTAGTTTTTACTGCTGTAGAGGTAGTCTTTTCCTCAGTGGTTTTGGCAAAAATTCCATCTTTATCCACAATCCTTGGAGGATATTCAGTTTTCAAAATTTAAATTTCCTAATGAACAAGTCTTGATCAGTTCTGCTTGTAATAGTCTAAATTTTATATTAATATAACAGTGACCAGATGTTTTGGGCTATAATTTGTTGATAATTCCCTCTATTGCTAACAGCTGCTCTAATCTTACTTTAATACTCCCCTAATTTCTGTAAATCTCTGAGATACTTACAAAAAATGTGACGCTATGATATCTAAAATATTCTGCTAATGTAATTTCTTGAGCAATATTTATCATCTCAATTAAACAAAAAGCATGTCAGCTAAGCATAGCTGGTCTTCTAGTGCAAGATGGGGTATTCCTACTTTGGAAATAGTATGCCTCAACCAATATACAGTGTGAAAATTTCAATTTCTTGAGTCACTCAGCATAAAATTGAAACCATTTGGCCAAAGAAGAATTGTTTCATAAGGACATGTCAGCTCAAACTTGTGTGAACAGCCCTAGGTTCTTTTACTGCTCCAACCTGGCCAGCCTCAAACCAAAAGCTATCTCAACACTATATATTACATTCAGCTGTGCTAATATGGCGAAACAACTTGGGAGGAGAAATGGCTTATGCCTAACCAGCTTGGAGCACGAATATGTGATCATTCAGCCACATCAGCATTGCCAGTGCTGCTCTTATGCCAATCCAAGCATCACATGTGAATTAGTCCAACAAACTAAGCTGACCGCAGTCCTTCCCATTGCCAAAGCCAAAGGAAAACACCAAGCCTGGAAAATACGTTAAAACCAAGTAACAGAAGCAATTTCTATGGAAAAGGGGGAGAGTTTTGCCATTGATTTCTATGGGAGGTGGTTGGACGTTTTTGTTTCAGAGTATTGCTTCAAAGAAGGATTTACTTACCCAAGACTGTAGGCTTCAGATCCCAGCCTGTAGGCTTCAGCCAGCTTGTTGATGGATTCAGATCCGTGCCTGTAGGCAGCTGAGCTCTGACTGAGGGATTTAGAGTCAAGACTGTAAGCAGCAGATCTTTTACTTTGTGCAGCAGAGTGATCATAGGCTGTAGATCCATAGCTGTAGGCTGCCGACTCAAGGTCATAGGCTGAAGAGCCATGACTATATGCTGCTGAAGAGTCAAGGCTGAAGTCTGCTGCAGATGCGTGGCGATAGGCTGCAGAACCTCTAGCGTAAGCTGTAGATCCTTGAGCATAGACAGCAGATTTGCTCTTTGTTTCCTTTTGGTACTGGCTTACAGTGGACTGCAGTGCTTTATGGCGGTATGCACGGTCATAGTGTTCATGGTGTCTTTGGTAGAAAGGTAAAGACATCTTGGATGTCTTCTAATTTTGTTTCTACTGCACGTTTCTGAATGTAGATATAACAGGACGGTGTCTGAAAAAGAACAGATCAAATATAAAGACTAACGTCAAAGACACTCCTGAGTTAGCATACAAATAATGCAGAAAATAAAAGCTAACACAGAACTTAAAACTTCAAAAATCAAATGCAACAAATTTAGGGTTATCTTTCTATGATATATTTTAGACTTTAAGATATGTTTGTATTAAGTTTCAAGATGCTCATATGTCATTCATCACGAGCAGAAAACCTTGCACTATTGCGTCCATTAATTTGTAGTTGGTCTCCCTGTTACTGCAAACTATTCAAGTTTTACCAGCTCAACTTCTCCACTCATTACTGCAAACTAATGAGATTTTATGTGCTTAGCTTCTTCAGATGTAGTGTAAATATTTTTGTTAAATTACAAAAGAGACAATAAAGTAACAAATTATTTTGAAAGACGTGAGCAATTCCAACAAGGCTATATAAGCTGAAATAAAAAAATATGAACATTTTATTCATTTTTGCAATCCAATTTTCAGACTGAATTTAATATTCCATTTCATATTTTAACAGTGAATTAGAAACACTAAGATAGAGAAAGATGTCACTTTTTTCGTAAACATGCATTATGTTTGTTATTTTGTGTGTAACGCCATAGGTCCATTTAAAATAGCTTATGATACTTTTACAGTTTAATCAGGGATACAGTCTTTATGCATTGAGTAAAATAATATCATGCTCCTCAGTCCAAATGACTTTTTTTTTTTTAACCTATAATGTCATGTTCAAGATCGTAAAGAAACTTCCTCCAGATGATAGCCCCATCTAAGTTTTACTTTGCACAGTCATCAGTAGATTGTCTTGCAGTTGGTTGTAGTAGGAAACTTGATTTGGTGAGAGGTAGTTCCTCTCTCAAAATGGGATGAGGGTTGAGTGCAGAAAGGATTTCCCATGACTTTTTTAAGCGGGCAATTCAGTCTTTTTTTTGTTGCTGGTTTATTTTGCTGTTGTTAAAACTGACTTTTTCTTCCCTGACATGCCAATTTGCTTCTACTAATCCCTATAATATCCTTCCTTTCTCTTATCACTAGAGATTAGATTTACAACATGGCTAGGATTGTCCCTGAAAAGGCACATGCTTATGAACAGAAATGAGCTACAGTGAGGAAATGTTGAGAAGAATTTAAAGAAGATTAAAAAACAATGGTGAGAGGTGTTCGTTATTATTTTTTTAATATCGCAACAATAGATCTGTTCTGGTTTTGTTCATTTTAACGAACAATGATCTGATGTTTTGGCATAAAATACACTTACAGAGCTGCAATGTAATCATGATTTCATGAAAATAAATATTTTTTTTCCTGGTTTTTATGCTGCCTAGATTTCAGTCTTTGTCTCTAGTATTTGGTTCTGTTAGCAAGTCAACAAATTGCAAACTATTCTCTTTGGTAACTGCTCAGGTACTCACCCTCACTAAGGTAATTAGAAAAAAACCTCCTATTTCAACTTTCTTGTATTTCAGGGCTCTCTCAATGGAACTGCTCTTTGTGTGATAACAGAACAGACCACTTGTTTTCAGAAAGTCAATAAGTAGGGAAGTAACTCAGAAGTCTTTAAGTATGTAAAAGAAATTGCTGATGTCCTGACCACAGTGAAACTGCGACTTCAAGGAAAAGAGTTTATGCATTTACTATATTTTTGTCTGAGGAAGGGGAAGGAATGGGAGAGAGTGTTAACCCATCATTCTCTATGGCAAAAACTTATGTTCTTTTTTAACTCCCTTATTTTTCCTGATATTTTTTCACGTAAATCTACAGAACGCAACTTTTCTGTCTAGTATCCTTGTTTCTAATACCCATCAATATTTTGTGTTGTTATTTATTTCACTTTGTTAGCTTCCGGTACTATCTAGTTGCTCTTAATTTCCCTAGTTTCGGAAGATTTCTTCTCCATTTTTCTTCATTGCTTTCTCTCCCAGCGCCAGAGGGATAGATTTAGGGTTTGCAAGCCATTGTGATCTCTGCTGAGCAGAGTTAAGGCATACAGATGAGTATTGTCTTGCACACTGAAAGGGAAAGAACATGAGAACATCCTGTTTTCCTTCTGTAGAGTACTACAGTTGTCTTCCCTTGTCTTCACCAGCTTTATTTGCAACGTTGGCTGGCTTCACCACGGATACAACAGCCACAATGCTAACAGCCATCCAGTCCTGTAGCTCAGTGCTTTCTTTGCACAACCTTCCAGGCTTTAAAGTAAGGAAGGTGATCCAAAAGTATAAAGCACTGCAAGTGTTGCCCATTAAGGAGATGTTAAATGAGGCATTTCATTTACAGCTCATCAGAGCAAAAGAACAAGCAGTGGATTTAAAGTTAGCATGTTTAAAATGCACAAAGGCAACCTTTTTCTTCCAAATGTAAAAGGTCTGGACCTCACTGTCCTCAGGAGTAAGAGGAGGAGTGTATGACAGGAGTAAGAACTAAGGCAGTAAGGCAGGAGCTGAGCATGGAGTCAGCTCTCCTGGTTCAAATCAAAGGCCAACTCTGACTCACCTCATATAAGAGGAGACTTCTTTTTATCACACTGTGAGTTATATTTCTTCTGAAACATCAAGCGTTGCTCATAGGTCAGGATCAGTTAGTTACACTAGTCTGATCAGATATAGTAGTCTGATGCTATTGAACATGACAAGAAACTCTGAACCTTGCAAAGATTTTGCTCCTATTTGGAGCCCTGTCTGATTATCAGATTGACTCCCATCTCTTAAAATCCATGCTACCTGCACCTACTTAGTTTGTGCCCACGAATCAGCCCCCCTTAGTGGAGTGTGACACTCCCTCTCAAGAGCTATGTGTGATTTCATAGCTGTAGAGCTTGGCCTACAAGTACTAGTGGCCATAGTTAGAGGAATATGCAGGTTTTGGAGCTGTATGTTAGCAGCTGTTGAACTGAATTATCAAAACGACTACTGAGCTGACAGTTCTGTATTTGTTCATAGGTCACAGCTACACATTAAAGGAACTGATTTCATTGGCATTACTTCTTGCCCTGTTTACCAGTCTGTGTAATTCTTTAAAGATCTACTCCATCAATTGGCGAAAATAGTGAAAGAGATAAAAAACTCTTGTAAGCAGAAGAAAAAATGATAAAACTTCCTTCAGCTCAGGCAGTGGCTTTACAAATCACAAGAATTCGTATGCAACTGGAAAATATTTAGATTGTTTACACATTCTCAAAGCCCAAAGGAGGCTACATGACAAACTCCTCCTGTATCTCAGTAACCCATGCCCCATTTGAGACTACCGTGACAATATGCAAGGATAGTTGAGTTGATAATAAGGGAACCCTTGTACTGCTTTGCTTTATTTCACTGAACCTTCAGATATCTTCAGTCCACAAGTCCCTCAAATAACTGCTGAGCTGAGAAGACTAAAGGGAGCTGCTATCAATTCAGCATTACAGATTCAGGTTAAAAATAACTGAACGCATAAAATCTTCTGTCATAAAGGAACACTTACCAGGGCCCAAATGAAAGGCAGCAAATGGAATAGCTCTCAAGTGGATGAATAGCAGAAAAATACAGCAACGATGAAGCCAGCAAAGAAAGAGGTGGTGAGAATGAGAGGTGAGGACTGGACTTCAAGGTCCAGAACAAAAATGATGCCTGCAGTCAGTGGAATGTCGGAGCCCCAGTCCAGACCTTTTATGGCCAGGGCAGTGATAAATATAGCATCGAAGAGGGAGAGAGACAGAGACAGATACCGATACCCTGTGCTATCTCTGTGCAAAGACATGATGGCAGCAGCAGCTTCAAACTGAGAGCTCTCCCTTTTAAGTGTCTCCACTAAATTCAGTATAAAACCAGCATTCCAATTCAAAATTATTGCTAGGATTTTTTTCCTTAGACAAGTCAGATTTAGGAGGAAAAAAAATTGGTTTTGTTGTGAACCAGAAAGTATGAAAGATCAGTCTCTGTATTGGCTTTTGCCATGTTACAAGAATGTGAATATTTTATGGTTTCTTTCTCTTTTTTATGCCAAACCACAGTGCATTTAATGTAGATATTTCAGCTTAATGACAGACAACCTAAAGAAATCATTAACAGCAAAACTCTGCAAAGCCATACAATGTGTTACAATTCAATAAAAACGTACTTTCTTTATTCTGTTGGCAAGGTGTTACATTTTTATCTTCTTATTTAAGATAAAATACTAAATTAAGGCAATGAGCTTAAATGCCTCATGAGGCATTTAAGTAGATGCAGCTGTAAGACAACTTTTTTTTCTAAATTAAACAGTATCACCTCTGGGGATAGTTAAATGGGCTTGTCTTCTTTAATTTTGGTCACAGCACTTTGGCACAGGAATGTACAATCAGTATGGCTGAATATTACATAACAGCAATTTCTATCACCTGAAATAGGGTTTGATATGTGGAATCCACTGTGATTTCATTGTAAATACAGATTTTGCTCTGCACTGTACATTTAACTTTCAATACAAGCAACTAGTCCATGTTATTTTGTGCGTTTGCATTGACAGAAATATTAACCCTAACTCTTGGTTCTGCTATAGCCCCTTTCACCACATCCACCATGCAACACAACTAAGAACCTTCCAGATCCTCCTTTTCTGCCGCAGCCTTCCCCATTTTGGGTGGAACCACCAACAGAAGATCTGGAAGACACCAGCAAGTCCCAGGCTTTTCTGAACAAAGCTCACTGGTATCCTTCTTCTTCAACTCACTGCCTGGATTCCACCTGAAATCTCTGTTCTCCCCACGAGATACCTGTTACCTGAGGAGCTGCTACCTCCTGCCTGGTGTTGCACCATGGAGTAAGTTCCCATGCCTCTTCACCTCCCACACCAGGAGCTGCTCAGCTGCATTAACCATAAGGGCTTTTGCTCTTTGCTGCCAGGCACAGGCAGTATGGCCACCAAAGAGCTATACAGTCCCATGAACTGTGTCTTGGCTCAGGAAACTGGCCAGATCTGCAACAGGCAGAATGAAAAACTGGAACCCTGATATAGCTTCTTCCTCCAAATTCTGTGCCAATTGCAGCTCCGCTGAGCTTTAGTATTTGGGTTATAATATACATTTTTAATTAGAGAAGGAAGAGGCCTCAGTGGATGGACTCCTGGATTCTGTTACAGACTCCTAACCCACTCCTTCACCATCAGTCATTTGCTCTGGGATCTTAAAAGACTTGATGACATACAAATTGCTTTTGAAAATTTCAGAGAGAGGTGTAGAGCAATGAAAACAAACATCTTGTTTCTCTGCTCTCATTGCAATACAATTTGTATAGATCACAGGTGGGATATAAAAATATAAACATTTTCAGTGTTTTTCTGGGTATAGTGGCACTATCAAGTCCAATACAGTTTACAAATTCTGTGCTGACTCTGTTTATTCTGCAGATAAAATGGAGATGGAGTGTGGCAGCAAAATCTTTTGGGTTCTTTAATTATTCTGGCACTAAATTTGCACACTTTTATCTGGTTTTAAAATGAGGTAAAATCCATGGCTAATTTTAAACCACTTAACTCGCATTTGAATATCAAACTATGTGTTTCAAACTGATTGGAGCTCTCTAAGTCTCAGAATCCCTGCAGCACTCTGTATCCGCATTTATTTAATCACATCAGTCCTGAGAGACAGAGTCTTCATAAACGTTAGTTCTGTCTTCTGTTAATCAGTGCCTGACTATGTAATTCTGTTCTTCTGAATGGGAAAGCTGGAAGATTAATTTAGAACCTGACAGAGCAGGGAAAAATAGCTTTCTAGTCAGTTTGTCCATTGAAGTTTTGACAGCTACAGCACCCTGTGGCTGCGGGTATTAGTCAAATTCCACAGGATCCAAGCCCATCTCTTCCACTAGAGTCCTAAATAAAACTAGCAAAACATTTTTGGTGGACAGAGTATTTAAGCATGTGTGTTGTCTTCCAGAATTTAATTTCAAAAGTTGGGTCCAATTTTCTGAATGAATTCCTAAAAAAAAGACACTTTTCTCCAGAAAAAAAAAAAAAAAGAAAAAAAAAAACCACTTTGGGAAGATGTGCTATTCTCCATTATATCCTAAATAGCCATCTTCATAACTCACTGAAGACAAGGAAGATCTGTGTTCCCTTACCTTCCCCTTCTCCCTTACCCATGAGAAGGTCTTTATCTGCAGGTCAGGTCAATCTCCATTCCTGTTTATTCTCTGCATCACTCTCAGTTCATGTATGTGACATGGGGTCAGACATGTAACAGAAAGGACTAAGAGCAGCGTACTGGAGCTTGAGTGTTTGACCTCAACAGCATGCAAAATGAAGTATGAAATGAACCAACAGTGGTGCAAGCTTTTTGTTTTAAGTGCTGAACGTTACTGCTTGTTTTGCATTGGGAGGTGCTGGTCCATTACAATCCCAGTAAGAAAGGCACTCACTCTCTGTAAGGTATCAGTCAAAATGCTATGCATTAGAGCTAACACTATAAGAAGAAAAGAGTATAGATAATATTATATCCCCTTATGTTCTGGGAACCCCAAGCAGTGTAGCATCAAACAGGACTCCAACCCACGTGCAGCATGCCATTCAGACCCTGCCAGGAGAAGAGGATCTGCCATTTCAGTCATTTGAGATAGGATAGGATTTTCTTAGAAAAAAACAACTCTGTTATTTCTACTGTCACGCAGAAAGGATGTTCACAAGACAACTTCTCGCTGCAGTGTTGGATACAGGCAAGGCCACGTAGGTGGTGTACTGGCTGGTACCGAGTGGGAACTGCCTGCAGGCTCCTCTGTCCAACCCATTAGCAAAGTTTATCCTGCAGCCAAGGGATATGTGCATCACAACACAGTCTGAGGACCACGCTGTACCTGCAGCACATCCTAGCATGGCACACCACAGGCCAGGTCATGCTCAGGTTGACTGCTGTGGGGACCACTGACTCCCCCACAGACAGAGGTCTCCAGTCAGGACCACTGCATGGCTCCACCTCTGGTCCTGGTTTCCACACTGCCAACGTGTGCACAGGAGAGACCCACCTGTGTTCCTTCCATCTGCCTGCTGACAGGCAATGATGGAAAATCATATTTTCATAAACTTAGCAAAGCCCACCTGTACCTGGTCCTGCTTGAAGTTATCTTTCTACACCATGGGTGGCCTCAACCACACACAGGAGTCCAGAAGAAGTTCATTAGAGACCGTTACCCTCCTACTGTGGCACATTTCTGTCTCTGCCGGGATAAAATACCTCAACTGATGAACTTTAGAATGGCATTTGCCTTTTTCATGCATATGTTACATTGACAGCTCACAGTCATCCTGAATGGTTAATATCTTCAGATCTCTTTAGTCCTCTGTCACTTCCAGCTGAGGCAATCTAGTGACATCTTACGTCTTATGACCTTACACTTTTTACTACTGAATTTCATCTCTATTAGTCTAAGCCTTACTCCTATATAATACTCTAATCCTTCTTCACAGGGTGGATGCCCCTTAATGTTATGTAGTCAGCAAATTACATTAACGTCTTCCTATTTTTTGATAACAAGATCACCAGGAAAAAAATTAAATATTGCTTCCAAGACTGTTCCTTTGCTACTAAAATCTGTCCTCCGATTCTTCCCTTCTCAACAAAACCTGTTGTTTGATTGTCTAGCCATTGGGCTAGCGTAGGGCTTGTCTGCCCTACACGTCTTGTGGAAATTCTCCATTTTCACTGACAGTTTTCCAGGTGGCGAATTCAGATTAACTCACTCAGTTGCATTTCTATTGCTTGGAAAATGTTTTATTCTGTTATTAAAAACTCCCATAGGTTACTTGATCTGTTATTGATTTTATTCTTCTTGCTCTAGATGGGTTACATGATTTATTCTTACTGCGCACATTCCATCCAGATTGCCATTTCCCTCCAAATCTTTGATAACTTTTTTTTCAAAACCTGTTTTAAAGGAAAACTTTTCCAAAAGCTTTTCAAGCTATTGACTCTTGGTGCCTAGATTAATTTTTGCATTATACAGAAATACTTGTCTTACCATTATTAGTAACATTTATTTTGCAATGTCTCTCTGGGAACTGGAAGTGTCCCATAACAAGTTTGCTGCTGGCAGCGTTTATTGTCCTTTGTGATATTTTTGAGGTTACTGTTCATATTAAAACCTCACCCTGAGAGTCTATGGCAGATTCCTAGAGGTATTCCAGCAGAAAATTCTTATCATTTCTCTAAGTGCCTTTTGTACTTACATAGTTCTTCAATCCATAGTACCTCGTCATTTTAAATGACATACTGAAACAGATGGATGTTAAATATTGTCCCATACTGTATCTGTCAATCTTTCTTAAACACCACAGATCCTTCAATATGTTTATTCCAATAGTGACGGATAGTTGCTGTAATCCTCACTCCGTTTAGTTTTGCATCTTGGAAAGACTGGACAAAACACCTTGACACACAACTGCTGAAGGACCAGAGAGATGCTCCAACCCCAGATGACCCAAAGGCAGAAAACTTGACTGAGGTATAATATCTGAGCTCTTGCCATTTAGTTATGAAGCTTTTAGAAGCAGATAATACACTTCAAACTAAGATATAAGTAGTTTGGCCAGGATACGGGCCAAACA